AGGGTAGGAGAGATGTCCTGGAGGCCAAATTTAGGCTGCTAGGGAAGAGACTGAAATCCAGGACCTCTATGGTGGCTTTCTCAGAAATGCTTCCAGTTCCATGCGCACGGCCAGGTAGGCGGGCAGAGCTTAAGAGTCTCAATGCATGGATGAGACAATGGTGTAGGGAGGAGGGGTTTAGATTTATTAGGGATTGGGGAAACTTTTGGGATAGGGGGAGCCTATACAGGAAGGATGGGCTCCCGCTAAACCAAAGTGGAACCAGACTGCTGGCACTTAACATTAAAAAGGTTGCAGAGCAATTTTTAAACTAAGCGATGGGGGAAAGCCGATTGCTGCAGAGGAGCACGTGGATCGGACAGAGACTTCTCTTAGGGGAGAGTCTATTAATAGAGATTCTCTAGGTTTTAGTCAGGAGGAGAGGATGGAAGAGGATAATGTAAGGGCCAGATCAGTGATTGGGCAACAAAATGGCAAAGGAAATTTAATGTGGATAAATGTAAAGTAATGCACATTGGAAATAATAACCCCAACTATACATACAAAATGATGGGGGCTAATTTAGCTACAACTAATCAGGAAAGATCTTGGAGTCATCGTGGATAGTTCTCTAAAGACGTCCACGTAGCGTGCAGCGGCAGTCAGAAAAGCAAACAGGATGTTAGGAATCATTAAAAAAAAGGGTTAGAGAATAAGACTGAGAATATCTTATTGCCCTTATATAAATCTTTGGTATGCCCACACCTTGAATACTGTGTACAGATGTGGTCTCCTCATCTCAAAAAAGATATACTGGCGCTAGAAAAGGTTCAGAGAAGGGCAACTAAAATGATTAGGGGTTTGGAACAGGTCCCATATGAGGAGAGATTAAAGATGCTAGGACTTTTCAGCTTGGAAAAGAGGAGACTAAGGGGGGATATGATAGAGGTATATAAAATCATGAGTGGAGAAAGTGAATAAGGAAAAGTTATTTACTTGTTCTCATAATATAAGAACTAGAGGACCCCAAATGAAATTAATGGGCAGCAGGTTTAAAACAAATGAAAAGAAGTTCTTCTTCACACAGCGCACAGTCAACCTGTGGAACTCCTTGCCTGTGGAGGTTGTGAAGGCGAGGATTATACAGGATTTAAAGGAGAACTAGATAAATTCATGGAGATTAAGTCCATGAATGGCTATTTGCCAGGATGGGTAAGGAATGGTGTCCCTAGCCTCTGTTTGTCAGAGGGTGGAGATGTATGGCAGGAGAGAGATCACTTGATCATTACCTGTTAGGTTCACACCCTCTGGGGCACCTGGCATTGGCCACTGTCGGCAGACAGGATACTGGGCTGGATGGACCTTTGGTCTGACCCAGTATGGCCATTCTTATGTTCATATGTCCCTTCATGCTTCAAACACCATTCCAGAGGACATGGGTTCTGCTCGATAATGATCCAAAGCAGTGCAGACCGACGCATGTTCACTTTCATCATCTGAGTCAGATGTCACCAGCAGAAGGTTGATTTTCTTTTTTGGTGATTCAGGTTCTGTAGTTTCCTCAGAGTGTTGCTCTTTTAAGACTTTTGAAAACATGCTCCACACCTCATCCCTCTCAGAGTTTGGAAGGCATTTCAGATTCTTAAACCTTGGGTCGAGTGCTGTAGCTATCTTTCGAAATCTCACATTGGTACCTTCTTTGCGTTTTGTCAAATCTGCAGTGAAAGTGTTCTTAAAATGAACATGTGCTGAGTCATCATCCAAGACTGCTATAACATGAAATATATGGCAGAATGTGGGTAAAACAGAACAGGAGACATACTATTCTCTGCCAAGGAGTTCAGTCAAAATTTAATTAACACATTTTTTAACAAGTGTCATCAGCATGGAAGCATGTCCTCTGGAATGGTGGCCAAAGCATGGAGGGGCATATAAATGTTTAGTGTATCTGGCACATAAATACCTTGCAATGCTGGCTACAAAAGTGCCATGTGAATGCCTGTTCTCACTTTCAGGTGACATTGTAAATAAGAAGCCAGCAGCATTATCTCCTGTGAATGTAAACAAGCTTTTTTGTCTTAGCGATTTGCTAAACAAGAAGTAGGACTGAGTGGACTTGTAGGCTCTAACGTTTTACATTGCTTTGTTTTTGAGTGCTATTATATAACACTGGAATGTAAGCACTCGAATGGGTTACCTAGGGAGGTGGTGGAATCTCCTTCCTTAGAGGTTTTTAAGGTCATGCTTGACAAAGCCCTGGCTGGGATGATTTAGTTGGGGATTGGTCCTGCTTTGAGCAGGGGGTTCGACTAGATGACCTCCTGAGGTCCCTTCCAACCCTGATATTCTATGATTCTCTGAACAACAACAAAAATTCTACATTTGTAAGTTGAATTTTCACGATAAAGAGATTGTGTTACAGTACTTGTATGAGATAAATTTCAAAAATACTATTTCTTTTGTTTATCATTTTTACAGTGCAAATATTTATAATAAAAATAATATAAAGTGAGCACTGTACACTTTGTATTCTGTGCTGTAATTGAAATCAACATATTTGAAAATGTAGAAAAACATCAAAAAATATTTAATAAATTTCAATTAGTATTCTATTGTTTAACAGTGCGATTAAAACTGCAATTAATCTTTTTTTTAATCACAATTAATTTTTTTGAGTTAATTGCGTGAGTTAACTGCGATTAATTGACAGCCCTAATGTTAATTAAAATTAGATACAGACTGGAAATCAGGAAAAGCTCCCCTAGAGTGAGATGCAAAAGGGGATATGGCCTTCATGGAAGAAACAGTCTCTCCAGGGAAATGGAGGCCCTATTGCTTCTCTTTGAAAATTAACACTGGTGGATGTATCATAGGGGACAATCCTGCACTGGCCCCTGGGACATGGGCTATTTGATCTATGGCAAGAGGGTGAAGAAATAGCTGATTCTTGGAATTGATATAACTTGTCCAGCTTTCCAGACATAATGAGAATGACAAAGTGGCCAAGGCCACATCTCCTTTACAGACACCACACAGCCCTCGATACTGAAAAGATAAACATTCGCCTTAAACTGAAAGATGCTCATTAATCACGCGTTACCACTTGGAGAGAGGAGCATCTGACTACAAGCAGCTTTTACAAAGAACAGGTCATGACAGGTCTTGGGGCTGAGGGGGTCATTACCTGTGCAGGAGAAACATAAAGGAGGCAGTCTTTTCTTCAGACCTAAACAAGACCTCCAAGTAGCCAGACCCTGGTAGACACTTCCACCATCTACAGGCCTTTGAGGATGCTTCCACTACCACGAGTATGTGTTACTCCTGGGAGAATTCTGCGCTACTGCGTGCATGCATAATTAAGGAGCCACACATTATTTTTTTGCGCAGAAAAAGGCTTCTGCCGAAATGTTGCTGCAGTTCTGCCTTTTGCCCACGACAGGATGCTGTAGCACAAGAACACAGCAGCAGCTCCCAGCCAGCGAGGAAAAAGAAAGCCTGCTTTCTTCACAGCGCCTGTCAGGCCAGGTCAGGAGAAAGGACTATGGGGAGACAGACAGCGTGGGATGCTGTGGGGGGTCAGACAGGGGCTCATAAGGGCTAGTGGGGGAGGACAGACTGGGGCAGAGGCTGAATGGGAGTGGAGGTGCAGGGCCATAGGAGGGAGGGTGGTGCAGGGCCACATGGTGATGGGGGACAGGGTGCAGAGCTACAGAGGGTGGCTGAGTGGGTGTACAGAGACACATGGGGAGGGGGGGGACAGAGCCACATGGGGATGGGGGGTGGCTGCCCAGACACACAGCTGGACAGGGGGAGGGGGTACAGGGACACATAGGGACAGGGGAAGGGTGCAGGGCCACATGGGGAAGGGGGAGTGGGTGTCTGAGTGGGGGTGGCGGGACACATGTGGACGGGGTGCAAGGACACATGTGGTGCAGGAACACATGGAGACAGGGGCAGATGTGCCTGACTGAATGGGAGAGGCTAGAGGTCAGCCAGGGTCTGCATGGGGGAAGCTCTCTAACAATCCCTTCCTGCCCCCCAAATAAACCTGTTCCATACTTTCCCCACCCATACCCAACAACCCTCCAAGTTCACACCCAGGCTCCTTCCCAGCGATTTACTTCCCTCTCCCTCAACTCCTCCGTTACCTGTGACTTCCCCCAAGTCTTTGCACTGCTTCTGAGGGGTGTGGGAAATACGGTTCTGTATTGTCATTTAAATTAATTATTACTCAGAGTTCTGTATTAATATGCCTAGTAAGGAATCTATTTGTTAAAAAACATTTCCTGAATCTTTGTTGTTGTCTGAATTGTTACAGACATACTTGCGGACAGGTATTTTGAAATAAATGACCAAAAATAATTGAAACTGGTGTGATTGTATTGTGTTATTTTGACAAATAAAATATACAGAATTTTGCAGCATTTTAAAATATTGTGCACAGAATTTTTAATTTTTTATTGCAGAAATTCCTCAGGAGTAATGTGTCAGGGGGTGGATTTGCTTTTATCCTCCCCCTCCAATAAACTGGGGCCTAACTGCTCAGCTGGCTCTATAGTTTGCTGACAGACTTAGTCATGGCTCCCAGACCATGAGAGGGAAGACTGCTTCCCTAGGAGCACTGGAGCCTCCACAAAACCCTCCTGGAACTGTAGGCCCGGGCAGAGCAGGGGTGAGAGGGTGCACTAAGAGCAGCACAAGCTTGCATGCTGCACTTATGTTTTTGCCATGGCGGGGCTGGGATAATACTTTGCATCTGGATAGCTGTGATCAGTGTGGTGCACAAACATTCAGTTACTCAGTCTAAGATAGACACGCTGAGCTGGAGGAACAGTGAAGGGGATGTCAGTGAAGGGGACGTAGTCCAATATTAAGCACATGTCTGTGTCCCAGGCAGGGCCACCCGGCCAGTGCACAGCTCTTAGAGCAGTGTTTGATTCTCTCCCCTAAACACAGTCCATGAACTCAGGGATCATTGGTGACATTACTCACCGGGCACCCATGGCAACAGGGGGACTGACCTGTAAACAGCACACTCAGTAATGGGGTGACACTGTTGATGAAGAGACCCCGGATATTTGCTGGCAAAGTGTCTCTATTCTTCTCTAGGAAGCCACTGGAGGCATACTGAACCTGGGGAGAGAAGCAGAGCAAGGGAAGCAATTTGCCAACCCAACCCAAGCAGAGTGGAGCCCAAAGTGTATGGCACCAAGAACCATGCTGGCAGCACAGAAGAGTCTAGGATGGATAAAAATCAATGATTTTTTTTTTAAAACATGAATTTTTTTGTATTTACGTTGAATTTTTTTGATTGTTATTTAAATTATAGTAAGTTTTTCTTTTTAAAAATGGACCTGTTTAGAATGAAATCAGAATTTAACACAAAATATGTTAAGGTCTAAACTTATTATAATTTAGTTGTAAATATAAAAGATAAATAAAATAAAATAAATAAATTAATGGAGATATCCTATATCCTAGAACTGGAAGGGACCTTGAAAGGTCATTGAGTCCAGCCCCCTGCCTTCACTAGCAGGACCAAGTACTGATTTTGCCCCAGATCCCTAAGTGGCCCCCTCAAGGACTGAACAACCCTGGGTTTAGCAGGCCAGTGCTCAAACCACTGAGCTATCCCTCCCTCCCAGGTTTTGATATGAGAAGTTTATGTACCCAAAACATTTAAGGTTGCTTTGTTTAATACAAATAAACTTCATATGATGTTTGGTGTTTAAATTCCATCTCCCACACAGCTCCCACTGATGCAGCTTGACATAAATCATGAACAAAAAGTAAATTATCTAGTAAATAAGCAACATCTCATTCACTATTTTCTAACATACTAAAATGTATGATTAATAAGAATCTGAAAATATTAAGCATTATAATTGCTTAAATAAATAGTGTATTCTCCTAAGTAGCAAAAAGATGTACCAAGTCTAGAGTAAAGGCTCTATTTAGTTGTAAATCAACATATTTTTAATGGTTATATCAGCAAACGAGAATTAACCTTTCTTTAGAAAATAACTGAAGTACAAATAAAAAAGCTGATTGAAATTGATGAATCAAATAGAACAGTGGATCTCAAACTATGGGCTGTGACCCCAAAGTGGGTCGCGACTCCATTTTGATGGGGTCGCCAGGGCAGAAAGTCCCACAGGGGGTCCAGAGTCCCAGCCGGGAGCCCCACAGATGGCAGGGGGCCCAGAGCCCCAGCCACAAGCCCCACAGACGGTGATGCTGAAGGGGGGGTGGGGGCAATTTTTCTAGTGGGGAGGTCACGATTTTATTTTAAGTCCAAATGGGGTCACCAGCACAAAAACTTTGAAAAAACACTAAAATAGAGGCTTTCCACTTGGTGATTTAAATCATTATTTAAATTGCTGATTTAAATCACCTTGATTAAAATCAATTCATCCCGTAAGAGTCCAACACAACTACTATTTTGCATTTACGTTTGTATCCTCTTCCCATGGATGCATTTTGACTAAACGCCATAAATGAAATACAGATAATAATACCCAGACACTACAGTGATGGTGCAGGGCTGGCAGCATAACTCGAAGATATTAATTTTTTCTTGCTTTGCCTTCCTTTCTCATTTTATTCCATTTTCTTTCTATCTGCAACTTCCTTTCTCATCTCTATTCTCTCCCACTCGTTCCATTAGGTTGTTAACCTCTCCACTGTGCTCTGTTCCCTCCATTCTCCCACTCCCCTCATTTCCTACCTTCAGCCTCGCATTCTCTCTTCTCCTTTAACTAGACGTTAAGTATTTTAATAATGAATGTCTTAGAGGGTAACCCCCTGAACAAATACTGAATCAAAGTATTAAATCACAGAACATTAGTAACCAGAACTGTGTCTTCCCTTGTTACAAAATTCACTTCCATGTAAATGAGCTGTTTAATACATTATGGCCAAGATTATCGATCCAGGGAAAGTATGTGTTAGAGAGCTTATTCCTTCACTCTTCCACTTCCCTGGTCCTTCTCGCATGAACAGAGAGCAACAATACCCAAAGTCCGAAAGTGCAAACAATTTGATGTTTATTGGGGTGAACTTTCAGCAAGCTTAAATCCAAGTTCCTTTTTCCTTATTTTCGAATCCCAACTTGCTTCCTGTTTGCCCCTAATTTATATAGTAATATTTACAGCTATACCTTAACCAATCATTCTACTGAAATTTACCTAACCAATCCTAACGTATTGTAACATGATTAGCTAACCAATTATATCCCACTACCTTAATTAGTTTACACCCAGCAAAATTAATTGTACAGCAGACAGAAACAATCACAGAACCAGACAGAGACCATGCAAATAAACATACAAAACAATACAGAAGTTAAGATTTCACAACTACATCTATAAATACATAAGGGTTTCCCAGTTGTGTTTATTGATAAGTGAGTTCTTACCAGACAGAAAACTATATTTCCTTTTACATCTTCTAGGCTCTTCCCTTTCTCTGGAGGTGATAGATCGGATCACCTTCCTAACAGCCCCAGATTGCCTTATTTCAGTAGGACTAAACAGGGCCTCAGATTGTCACAGTGAGAGAAGGCCCTTACACAGATTCTTTCTTTTATACCTTTATAACTAGCTAAATAATAAACATATACACCTCTACCCCGATATAACACGAATTTGGATATAACACGGTAAAGCAGCGCTCCGGGAGGCTCCCGAGGACAGCGTTATATCGGGGTAGAGGTGTACCTAAATTCTTAAAGTATAGGCCTTTACAGACAGGCTTGAATATCTATATCCTAACAGTATGTGTTCATCTGTCCTAAATTAGGCTCCTCAGTCTATATTTAAGCATTGAAATAAATGGCCCAATTTTCAAAATGCTGAGCACCTAGCTGCTCCCATTGGGCTTGTTAATCTTTGGAAATACAGAAGTGATTCTGGTATTCCGGGCTCCTGGATATAAGGCCACTAGGTTTCTCCACCAATGCCCTACAAAGAATGCAGAGTATTTACACCTTAGAAGGGAATCAGCAAAGCAATAGCCTGAGACAGGAGCTCACATACAGCAGAACCCCAATTATCTGATCTAATTGGGACCAGGTCCAGATCGGATAATCAAAAATTCGGATAATTTGGAGAATGGGCAAAGGCTTTCTATCCGTTATTTTAAGAAACGGAGTTGCTTTTAAACAATCTGACCTCTCCCAGAGAAGCATTAAAACACACCCCCCTTTTTTATTTTCAGCGTACATGAACAGTTACTTCTAGTAAAGAGTACCAGTTTTTAAAAATGCAGAATGATCATTTTAAGTTGCAACAACAGCAACACTGTATTATTTTGGAGTTGCTTGAGTTTATCATTTCTGAATTTTTAAAAATGGGTACTGTACTCTTTACTAGAAGTAACAGTTCATGTATACTATCCTGTGTGTGCACTGGTTGTTTGGTTAATACAGAGAGCTGGATAATGGAGGCTCGGATAAACAGGGTTCTACTGTACCACGGTGATGGGTACATTGCAAATATGGAGAAATTCCACAGATTCGAGGGGAAGCCCCACCTTCCCCAGGGACTACGTGCCCTCCCACAGATTCATAGATTCTAAAGCCAGAAGGGACCACTGTGATCATCTAGTCTGACCTGTGTAGCACAGGACATGGAACTTCCCCAAAATAATTCCTAGAGCAGATCTTTTAGAAAATCATCCAACCTTGATTTTAAAATTGTCAGTGATGGAAAATCCATCACAACCGTTAGTAAATTGTTCCAGTGGTTAATTACTCTTACTGTTAAAAATTCATGCCTCATTTCCAGTCTGAATTTGTCTAGCTTCAATTTTCAGCCACTAGATCATCTTAGACTTTTCTCTGCTAGACTAAAGAGCTTATTATTAAATATTTGTTCCCCAAGTGGGTAATTAGACTCTAATCAAGTCACACCCTAATCTTCTCTTTGTTAAGCTAAATAAATTGAATTCCTTGAGTCTATCACTATAAGGCAGGGTTTCTAAATCATTTAATCATTCTCGTGGCTCTTCTCTAAATCCTCTCCAATTTATCAACATCCTTCTTGAATTATGGGCACCAGAACTGGACACAGGATTTCAGCATCCATTGCACCAGTGCCAAATACAGAAGTAAAATAACCTCGAGATTCTCTTGTTCACGCATTCCTGGATCGCACTAACCTTTCTGGCCACAGCGTCACATTAGGAGTTTGCGTTCAACTGATTATCCACCATTACTCCCAAATCTTTTTCAGAGTTACTGCTTCCCAGTATACAGGATATGGGACTCTAAGGCCTTGTCTACACTACAAAGTTTTGTCAGCAAAAGCTGCCTTTTGCCGACAAAACAGGGGAGGTGTACACACTACAAAGCTACTTTTGGTGGCAAAACTCTGCTGTTTTGCTGACAAAATAAAACCACCTCGATGAGAGGCATAAAGCTGTTTGCAGCAAAAGTTAAAATGACAAAACGCCAGTGTAGACACTGCTGTTTGTTTTGTTGCCATAACTGGCTTCCACCAGTATCCCACAATGCCTGCCCTGACTGCTCTGCTCACTGTTTTGATCTCTGCTGCCCTGCAGGCATGCGCTCCGGGAAGTATCTGACAGCTGAGGTACTGCTTCATTGTGGGGAACAAAAAGTAAATCATTTACGTGGAATGCTCTTGTTCTGCTCTGCACTAGGAACACAGCTGAAGGCAGACTGCTGCTGTGGGGAGTGGTGGGGGAAGGGACTGCTGTGCTGCTTTGACATTCCTCAGCAGGGAGAGCTCACAGAGCTTCTCAGGATTCTGCTTCTGGCAGCCGAGGAGGCTGTGGGAGAACTCGGAGGGAATCACAGAACCATAGGCAGGAAGGCAGAGCGGACTGTTTCCGGAGAGACTGCTGTGCCGAGCAGAGCCAGGGCTGCCTCAGGATAGGTCAGTCAGCCTGCTGTCTCCCCCGCCCCATATACACCATTCTCCTCTCCCTTCCCCCACACACTTCAGTTGAAAAAGCAACTGACAATATACTAGGATGCCCCTGGAACGATGGGATTGAGAAACCTTCATCATGTGATGCTGTACCTGCCCCATGAAGCATTGCAAACCCTTCCCAAAGCACCCTGCAGCCAGTTGCCCAGTGGGATAGCTACCAGTGCATTGCTCTTTGTGTCAATGTAAGAGCTGTTAGTGAGAATGCACTCTGCTGACACAAGGAGCTAGTGTGGACATGCAACAGCGGTTTTAAAGTCGCATACCTTTTGCCGATAAAACTTTGTAGTGTAGACAAGGCCTAAGTAGGGCCTAGATTCTTTGTTCCTAGATGTATACATTTACATTTAGCTATATTAAAACTCATATTGTTTACCTGCCCCCAGTTTACCAAGCAACCGAGATCTCTCTGAATCAGTGTCCTCTTCATTATTTACTACTCCCCCAATTTTTGGTTCATCTGAAGACTTTAATAGCAATAATTTTATGTTTTCTTCCAGGTCATTGATGATAATGTTAAATAGGATACCTTCTAGAGAGCCCCACCTCGCCTAAGAAGTGGCCCCCAGGGAGCACATCTCTCCCACCCATACCCCCACGGGCCCTGAAGCACACACCATCTCTTTCACCTACATGAGACAGAGTGCCAGTCTGTACCCTAAACAGTACTTACCTTCCCTGCATAGTGAATGATGCTGAACCCTAGCACGTGGCCTCTACACGGCTGGAAGTGTGAGTTCCCCTTGAAGGTGCTGTTCAGTTTATCCACAAAGGTTTTATCAGTCGCCTGCAACACAAGAGATTTCATAGTAAAACCCCACAAAATGAGAAATTAATAGTTATTATTTATACAGCATCTCCATTCCCACCAAGACACTGGGCAGGGATCTACAACTGACTAGAAACACATTTCGATACAATACAAATATAATAAAAGCCACCCTAACAGCTGAGACAGCGATGAAGAGAATTCTTGTCTATGAAGCGACTCCCCCTACCAACCTTTAAACTAGGTTCGACGGGGACAGGTGAGCAAAGCCCGCAGGTAAGTGGGGAACATGGAGACCTGGGAGATGGGTCGGAAACGAGAGGGAGTGTGGGCTATATTGGCAGAGAGAAAGGAGGGTCAGGACAAAACTGGGAGGAAAGATCAAACCAGTATCTTAGATGCCTATATACAAATGCGAGAAGTATGGGTAATAAGCAGGAAGAACTGGAAGTGCTAATAAATAAATACAACTATGACATTGTTGGCATCACTGAAACTTGGTGGGATAATACACATGATTGGAATGTTGGTGTGGATGGATACAGCTTGCTCAGGAAGGATAGACAGGGGAAAAAGGGAGGAGGTGTTGCCTTATATATTAAAAATGTACACACTTGGACTGAGGTAGAGATGGACATAGGAGATGGAAGTGTTGAGAGTCTCTGGGTTAGGCTAAAAGGGGTAAAAAACAAGGGTGATGTCATGCTAGGAGTCTACTACAGGCCACCTAAGCAGGTGGAAGAGGTGGATGAGGCTTTTTTTAAACAACTAACAAAATCATCCAAAGCCCAAGATTTGGTGGTGATGGGGGACTTCAACTATCCA